TCCAATCGTTGAGATTGGAATGTGCTTTTATAAATAAAAATTGTTCAATATTATTAAGAAAAATATATATATAACTAAAACTAAATCGAGTAATAGTAATCGTAAAAACTGTTTCGAGGAATCAACAAAGATTATTTATACAACCTCCATGTAATTTTTGATCTCCCAAAGAATTTTCTATTATTTTCACATTCAAATCATCTCTCCAAAACGGTACGTCGACAGTTGTAAACGGAGAGTAAATTTCGAGAACAGTTGTAAACGGAGAGTAAATTTCGAGAACGGTACGTCTACAGTTGTAAACGGAGAGTAAATTTCGAGAACGGTAAACGGAGAGTAAATTTCGAGAACGGTAAACGGAGAGTAAATTTCGAGAACGGTACGTCCCTATCGGAAAAGGAAATGGCGGTTACGTTCTATGTAACTACCAATTGTTGAAATCCTTTATGGTAACAATATATTCTAATCCTTTCTATAAAAACCATGTACCCCAAGTTTCGTATGACATTACAAAGTCCTACAAGTATAATCGATTTATCGCATACGTACTGTACATCATGAATTTGTCGACGTGCTATTCTATGCCAGTATGCATTATATGTGACACGTCAAATCAAAATAGACTGCTTTCATGTATGCAGAACCAATCTCAGTACACCAAATTAAGATAACTAACAATCAAGATTTTCGTTATCTTACTCATCATTTCGCGATGCTATGCTTGGGACATTATAAAAAATGAATATCGTTCGGCTAAATAAATCTTAAATCAAGTTATTATTGTGGAATACCTCCCTTATTTGTCACACCAATAATCTCGTATGTAAAGTCAAAATAAAATTATAAGATTTAAAGAGTATCTTTTATTGTTATAACCTTTCTGAAATTAATAAATAAAATAAAAATACATAAGATAGTATACATATAGTATATCTTTATAAGACTTAACCTTTCAAGAAATATATTAACATTATAGTTAATAAAAATATAATATAATAAATAAAAATTAAAAAATAAAATAATAAATAAACCCTTTTATGTATTAAAACTAATATAAAAGATTTTAAATAAATCCAAAATAATAATAATAAAATAAGAACAATTAATAATTCTTAAAGTATCAATAAAAAATGATTTATATAATAATTAATAACTTGATATTTATTTAATATTACTTAGTAATATATAACAGATTGATATTGGAATTATTATATTCTTCTTTTTTTAATATTTGATATTTTTATTAACTTTTTATTTAATATTTTTTAAATTTTAC